TTATATATATTTTTATTTTTTAGTGTGATAAACATGACAGCTAAAAATAACAACCAAACAAATCCCCCGCAACCTCATCTTTAGGCAGAGAAAGTAGGTTGAATGGATTTCTAGATCTTAAACATGGTAGCATACTACATAAACTGTGCCTTCAGGAAATTAGTAGGGAAAGAAATAAGAGAAAAGAGAATGAATGGCAGGCAGATCCAAGGGAGAATTTATTTTTTTTTCCCCAAATAAAAGTTAAGATGACCATAATTTTTGTGTTGTTACTGCTGCCTTTTCCAAAGAATGGAAGGCTGCTCTAGAAAAGGAAATATTGCAGATACATGGAGACTAAGAGGAGGCTGTTGAGGCTTGAATGAATAAAGAAGGGAGAAGGATGAGTCGTCCCCTAGTCCCAGGGATAAAATGGGAGAATTCTTGGCAAATTGAAGTTGTCTCAAGATGACCTCTAAGATTCCTGTCAATTATGCAACCACATTTAAAGAAAGAAGCAACAGAAGATGGAATTACGAAGGGGGCAAAGACCAAATCAGGTAGCTGTGTTAAAGCATTATCATGAGGGCAGTAGGAAGCCACTGAAAGATTTAAAGCAGCATCAAGGCATACCTAAAAAGCTGTACTTTAGAAAAGTCAGTCCATTGAAACAGATGAGGGAGAGAACTATTTAAAAGGGATATATGATTAGATATTATTGTTATGATAAGAGTCCAGAAGGAAGGAAGCTTAGTGGAGTGGTCTTTGTGGGAGGGATTGAAAAACAATGAAAACATTTCTTCTTTTACTTTTCATAGAGAAAAGGGAACTGGGGAAGAGGCGTGTGAAGGGAGAAAAAAGCAACAGTGAATAAATGGAAATCCAAAGTCTCTGTAAACTTTAATTAAAATCAATTTAAAATTTAAAAAAAAAAGTCAGTCCAAATGTGGGGAATGTATGAGATAACGTTAAATTGAGAGCCAGTGAAACTAGTTATGAGGTTGTTATGTCAATCCAGGTAGGGCAGAAAATAAATGGGCTTCAAATATATTTAATTGCTAAAAATAAAGGCAGTATAACAAATTAGCTGTACATAAGATTATGAAGCTCTGTCGGCATACTATGGGCATGTTGCAAGGAGGGACCAGTCCTTGGAGAAGGACATCATGCTTTGGAGTGTGAAGGAACAGCGCAGGAGAGGAAGACCCTGGATGAGATGGATTGACCTAGTGACTGGAGAATGGGGGTAGGAGTGTCAGAGACAATGCAGTTGGCTCAAGATAGGGCAGAGTTCAGAGCTATTGTACATATGGTCGCTATGAGTCACAAGTGACTTGACAGCACAAAACAACCAGAATACAGTATAGGACAGAGGAATTAAGATAAAGTTCAAAGTTTCTGGCTTGACTAGTAGGATATAGGTATTAAGTTAAATAAATTAGAAAAAAAGCGTAATTTTGTGATAAAAGTTGATGCTCATGTTTGAAAATTGACGTGTCTGTGGAAGATCTCATGTGCAAATGGATATTTAGAAAGAGATCTGGGCTAGATATTTGGGAGACATTACAGCAAAGATGGTAAATGCATGTAGCTTTGGGAAGGTTATAGACATTATTACCCAGGAAAGTAGGGGAAGAAGAGATTCATACAACAGACTGCATCCAAGGAGTACCAAGGTCCAGGAGATGACTTAAGGAGGAAAAAGTGACCAAGAAACTTTAAGAAAGGGCCTAAAGAGGACAGAAGAAAGCAGAAGAATGCAGTTTCCTGGAGCTATTAATGTAAAGGAGTGGGGAATGTTTCTTGTTATGAAGTAGTAGTGCAAAGCTTATGACTGGAAGTTGACGAATGAATGGAGGCTGAAGAAATGGTTACAGTAGCAGTAGTGATAATGCTTTTCTGAAGCCTGGTTCTTACTGGGAGGACAGAAAGGGTATTACAAAAGAGTAGGTTTAAGAACACTTTGGAATTTGGGGAGGAGGCAAGAAAAAAGAAATAGAGCAACTTAAAACAATGTATGTGCTCAAAGGAAAACAATCTACATAAAAGAAAAGGATAAAAGACGTCTGAGAGAAAATAGTTTGTGGAGTCAGACTCAGAAGCAGCAGAAAGCGATGGGATTCAGAGCTTGGTTGGATCAGTGTTAGGCAGAAAGGATTCCACCTTCACTGGGGCCGTAAACTGAGAGGGGGAAGTAGGTCTGCAAATTAAAGTATGTCTGTACCCCTGTGGTATGTTGTGTAATGTTTTGGACCGCTAACCTGAAAAGTCAGCTGTTCAAATATACCAGCTGTTCTGAGGGAGAAAGATGGGCAGTCTTTTCCCATAATGATTTACAGCCTCAGAAACCCGATGGGGGATCGCTGTGAGCCAGACTCAACTCCATGGCAATGGGTCTGGGTTTTTTTGTTTGTTTGTTTGTTTTTGTACTGGTTAGCAGGAAGTTGAAGGACTGTGGTACTATTCATGTCAGTGCTCCACCTGAAAGCTTGGCATAGAAAATGGATAATTAACAACTGTAAATATCTGTAGCCAGATAGGAGGAAAACAAGCTGGAAACCTGATAAGAAGTCCCGCGTGAAAGAAAAGGAGCTGGCAGGAGTTTGCAGCCTTAACTTTGTGAGGTTTTGGCCCAGTTTGCAGAATTTAAATGCTTTTGCTGTGGAAGGCACCATGCTGAGTGCCATAAGTCATTTTAAAAAGGAAAGGGAGGGAGGAAGGGAAAGGAAGAGAAGAGAAGAGAAGAGAAGGGAAGGGAAGGGAAGGGAAGGGAAGGGAAGGGAAGAGAAGAGAAAAGGAACGCTTCACGAATTTGCGTGTCATCCTTGCGCAGGGGCCATGCTAATCTTCTCTGTATCGTTCCAATTTTAGTATATGTGCTGCCGAAGCGAGCACAAGAGAAAAGGAAAAGAAAAGAAAAGAAAAAAGGCCAATGCCAGGCTGGAGGAGGCTATATATTTTAAGAAACAGGAGTCATTGGTTGTTTTTTAAAGAGGAAAATACAATCATCAAAATAATTGCAGATTTATTTGTATTGTCATTTTCTGCTCCAAACTCAGTAGGTATAAACCTTGACACTCAGTGACAGCAGCCCGATTCATGCTTAAATACTTTTCACTTTAAACATTTTTTTTAACCTCCGTTCATCTTGCAACGTATTATTTCATGTGAACTCTGTGGTGTTTTGACACCAATTTCTAAGCAGTCTTTTCTTGAACTCAAAGTCCTTTAACTGTGCATTCCTGAGGTGCAGGGGAGATATTTTATTCATCTTTCTACAGTCGCTGATCTGTGCATATTTGGTGTAAAAGAGAAGCTAACAATTTAGAGAAGATCTAGGATTAAGTGCACCATTAACTGGAAACCTCCCTATTCCCTAGTCTATTCAGGTGTCACATATACATTCCTTCCCCCTATTTCCTGCTCGACACATCTGGTGAGTATAAGCTGAGTATGAAAAAGTCATGTCAAACCAGTTTCTCACCTCTGCAGTGGGACCATTGAGGAAGTGTGCAAACATGCAAACATGCCAACGATCATGAAGATGACATAGGACTTGGCTATGTTTTATTCTGACACACATAAGATTGCTGTGAGTCAGAGTCAGCTCTGTGGTAACTAACAACAGCAGCAAGAGAAAAGGCTGCAAGGCCATAGGTCGGGCCATGCCTGCCCAGCTCACTGGGCAGGAATTCCAGTGGAGGTGGGAGGCAGGACTCATTTTCAGGAATTCCATTTTGCCCTTTAAAATAGTAGTTGTGAGTCCACATCTTTTCAAGGAAGATTATGAAATATTTATCCCCAAAAGAGTTTTTTACAACAGCAACAATGGACTGCCTTGTGTTAAACAACACATCATCCACCTGAGAGCAGAAGCTGGGATTAACTGGCCTCCTGCAGGCCTTTCCAAAGCCACAAATGCATGAAATTGGGTACATGGTGTTCTGCCATCCACAGACCCCAGGTAGGCCACTCCTTCGCCAGCTCCAGCTTTGGGTGTCGAGAAAAGGAAGAGAAAGGTCCTGGGCTGTCTGCATGGAGCAGCTAAAAACTGCTCAGTGTTTGCCAAGATGCCTGAAGGAATTTAGTTTGTATTTATGGAAAAAAAAAATCCTTTTGTGTGCCTTAATTCTAAAAAAAGCAGGAAGGTGGAGCTAAAATAATAACACCCAACCTCCTCTTTAAGGAAGAAGTTTTATTAAGTTAAATAATTTGGGAGATTAATTTGGGACATGTGACATTTGCAGCCATGTGATGCCAACAGACAAAGAAATCAAGCAAAGAAACCATGGTAGCAAAATACAGGGCACTGGGTGTTAGCATAGCCGGTTCCCTCTTGGCCTCCTGGTAAGCCCAGACAGGACACAGTGGCTAGTGTGGGCTTCTGATGGTATCTCGAACTAAAGATAGTAGACTACAGGAATTCAGGAGTGAAAAAGTGAAGCCTTCCTATTCTGGAAAGCGGTGAGGAGGCGCCCTGAGGAAGGTGAAGACCAAAGTTCTGTTCCCAACAATGGCACTGAGTCACCAGCTGCTCTTAGGAAAGCCTCTTCCCCTCAGCTTTGGTAGTCCATCACTCAAGTGGAGATTGGACTAAGTGATGGGCACAGTCCTGAGCATGGAGGGTTATATGTTAAGCTGCTAATGGAAAGGTTGGAAGTTTGAATCTACCGGATATTTCAAGGGTGAGAAATGAAGCAATCTGCTTCTATCAAGAGTTTCCAACTCCAGAAACCTAATCAAGAGTCATCATGAGTCAGAACTTGACTGGATAGAGGTAGGTTTGGTTTTGAGCAGCACTAACATAAAATTAATTTTAAAAAAAAGATGCTTTAGGTACAAAATCATTGTAGACACCAGAACTGGACGTCCAGGGGATGTTAGCTGGCTCTGAGTTGAGTCTGACTCATTTGTTGCTGGGTGCCAAGAGAACTCTGACTCACAGCAGCTGCATACACAACGGAATGAAGCACTGCCCAGTTTCATCTTCACAGTCCCGGGCATGTGCTTTGTTGCAACTGTTGTTGCAACACAAGTCCAATGATGCAACTGCTGGGCCAATTTACCTTACCCAAGCATCTCCCACACCCTCACTGGCCATCTGCTGCACCAGAATGATGTCTTTCTTTGGAATTTCCAAAGCAAGCAAGTCAGACAGTCATTTTCCGTATCCAGGACTTTTTCATTGACTAAGTTTTGGAAGCAGACCACTAGGCCTTCTAATCTGTTGTAGTCTGACTGTACCACACATGGGTATTGACCATGAGTGACCCTGAAATGTTCATGGCATACTTTTCTGTAGCATAGCTACAGCATCATCAGGACAACGTGCAGTCTACAGCACTGTGACACACAGACAGGCAGGCGGTGGACTGGAAGAAAGAGTCATAAAACCAAGTATGATCTCTGTAGTAGCCCCACCAGCAAAACCCTAATGCAGCATTCTTCCCCTCAAAGAATGGAACTCTCATCCACCCAGCTTTTCAAATCTGAACCTCACTGATCATCCATGAGCACTATTTCTCATTCTGCCTCATCATTTCACTACTAGTTAGTCCAATTCATCATTATCTCTTGTCTCTTCTATCTGGTCTCTTCATATCAGCTTTTGTTACAACATAGACTATTTCCAACCCAGCAGCCAGAGTGAATTTTCAAACTATCATGGACCATGTCTTTTTGCTGCACAAAACTTCCAATGATTTCTCATATCACTCACAAGAAAATCCAAAGTCAGCGAGCTCTGGTGGCCTAGTGGCAAGAAGCTGCACTGCAATCCTAGAAGTAAGCAGTTCGAATCCACCAGATACCCTGCTGGAGAAAGAGGGACAATCTCCTCCTGTACCAGTCAGATCTGATTTGACAGTACACATACACACAAAATAATAAAAATAAAATTAAAAAAAA